CAGGCTGGCCTCGAACTCACAGAGATCCGCCTGCCTCTGCCTCCCGAGTGCTGGGATTAAAGGCGTGCGCCACCAACGCCCGGCTGAGAGCCCTATATTCTTAACCATATAGTTGCATGAGACCTCTTCTTTCCTCCTGGTGTGTCAGGAAGATAGATGTGTGTGTGTGTGTGTGTGTGTGTGTGTGTGTGTCCCCCTTTGAGCGTTATCCCTTCCTGCTGTTTTTGTTTGAAATTCATCTCAAGTCCCCATCTCTCCCCGAAAGAACAGATAATATACTTACCAGTTGAAACAATACTAATTTTAGACTCGCTTTCTTTAATGAAACCAATGTGGCTCTCCCCCATTTCATAAGAAAATTGAAACATTCCACTGAAGCTGAATTGGCACACAGATAATCTTCGTAATCATAAAATCTGCTGATGTGCATACTTCATCCCAGCTCTTGGATGATGTCATTATGTCAACATCTATGAACCTTCTCCAACCCACACATCAAACAACACAGATCCCAAGGTCAATATCTAAAAATGGTAATGTCTTCGTTTTCAAAACTGCCTTCTCATACTCATCTAATTTTATTTTCACAATGATTCTGTGAGTGGCTTCCACTAAAGAGAAATGAAAAATGGAAGTTCATAAAATTACAGTTAAAAAATTAAATAATGCATGACCAGACAAAACCCTAAAGTCATATAGATCACAGGGAAATTAAAATAAGCAGGTACCTTTTGTGTCAGTTTCTAATCACTCCCTCGACATCAGGGTTTATATGAATCTTTCTCAATCTTTATGGTTTGCATTGCCTGGTGCTCACAATACTTCACAGTGTCTCTCACACACACTGAATCCCTGTCTCATTCTAATGAGATAAGTCATGGAGAATGGTAAAGCATGTGGTCTTCAGATGTAGAAACCAGGGTCTCAAGGGACAGATGGAGTTGGCTAAGTCAGTGGAATATAAGAATAGTATAGGATTTTATAAAGCTGAGTTAAATTCTGTCCTAATATGGAAAGGAATGCCTTTTCTGTTTTTTGGCTTTTTTTTTTTTTTTTTTGAGGCAGGGTTTCTATGTGCAGCCCTGGCTGTCCTGGAACTTACTCTGTGGACCAGGCTGACCTCAAACTCACAGAGCTCTACATACCTCTGCCTCTCAAGAGCTAGGATTAAAGGTGTGCACCCCCACTACTTGGCAGAATGCCTTTTCTCAGAAGACCAATTATTCTACAATTTCAGAACCATGTCATAGTGTATGTTGTAATAAAAACCTACTCATCTTGATGGCCCCCTGTGAGATTCATGCAAGCAATTAAAGGCCAGACTTTTTATTATTTATTTTCTATTTTGAATCCAAACTATTAATGCCTTTTAAAAAATACATTTCATATTTTTGAGATGGGGCTTGGGGGCGGAGGAAATGGCACTGTCAGTGAACTGCCTGCCTGGCAAGACTGAAGTTTAATGCTTGCTTGGCAAGCCTGAAGACCTGAATTCAGACACCTGGAATCAACATAAACCGTCAGGTATAGCTGTGTTTGCCTGAGGTCCCAGTGCTGGAAGAGGGAGGCCTCAGACAGAAGGTTGTTGGCACTTCTGGCTACCCTGTCTAGCTGCATCAACGGATTCCAGGTTCAATGAAAGAATCCGTCTCAAAAGGCATAAGGTGGGAGTGAAGGAAGAACACACCTGATGAAAATCTCCAGCTTCCACACATATGTGCACACACGCGTGCATACCCACACATTAACAAATAATTCATGAAACACACTGACACACAGAGGGGCTATCTAATATGGCCCAGCTGACCTGGAATTCACTATGTAGCGGAGGTTGGCTTTGAACTCCTGGCTCTCCTTTTATTGCCCAAGTGCTGGGATTGCAGACAAGCACTATGACACCCACCCAATGTTTCCTTTTTAATCATTTCCTTCTCCCTTCATAAGCAAAGACTGACCAGTTTCCCTCAATCTCCAACTAGTACATGATTCATACTCTGTATGACCACAAATACCAATGATTCACTGTGATCAAGGTTCTAAGAATCACACTGATTCTTCTTAAAGCACGGAGTACTGCCCCACCCAGGTTTATCTGGGATGGTGGGGACTATTTCTAACAAATGACTAGGTGATGCTGAGGTTGACTGTCAGGGTACCACTCTCTGAGAACCTCGGCACTAGCACTTTCCCCGCAAGGGTTCTTTTCATAGTTTCCCTCCAGAAAATGCTTCACGTGGCAAGACACAGCCACGTATCAACCACATGACTTGGCTCCACACTGGAAGCTTCTATCTGGAAGAGAAAGAGAAATATTTGTCGTGACGCATTGCCTCTCTCAGGCTTTTCCAGCCACCAAATTAGAAACAGAAGAGTTACAGGGGAAGCACCATGACACATGCTAAAGTGATACTGTATAGATCTCGGGATCTTATAGCATGGTTCCTGAAATCACTTCTGATAGGTAACAGCAGTTCAGGCCAGTCACCCTAGCCACACTGGAGCCTGGTCCCACAACACCCCCAGCAAAGCCAGAGCCCAAGCCAGAGGATTCTCGAAGGGAGCTCAAAAGCCAGCTCACATCCTTGGCTTGTTGTAGCTGCCAGGAGTGAAAAAAAATTCCTTGTAATTATCCAGATACATTATTGAAGATCCACTCTTTTAAATAATAATTTTTCTACAACTTCTCTACAGTTTTTCACAGAAAAAAAATTCTCAATAGTCAAAAAGCAACATCTATGAAATCAAGTAGGTAGATTAAATTCTGGAGAGTCTGGCAAAGTAATACCCGTAGCATTTCTTTGTGTAATTATCACCTCTAGACACCACCCAGAGGAGATTTTTAATTCCATTTTTCATCTCTGTGGAGGAAAATAAGGCCTTTTATGCTATGTAATAAAACAATTCTGCATTCTAATTATCACAAATATGACTACAATTTTAAACAGACTATTACATTCAGTACAAAATAATAGATGAAAAATGTTATCTTATCTCTTGTTAGGAAATAAGTTTCTAGCAACAACATTAAAACATTCACATATTGCAAGAACCACTGACCTTTTATTCCAATCACCATGGGACCATTGCATTATAACATACGGGTCAGCCAATGAATAATATGCCATCTTAATGCAGTTCTTTCTTTCTTAGTCCAAAGAAAAGAAAAGAGAGCTATCATGATAAGGGTAGTGAACTCAGATTTTTAAATAAGTCACTCTGTATGAGGATGAGTCACAAGTACTTCCTTAGTGATAAAAGTTGTCTGGGTAACGGAGATGCTTCACCAAGTGAAGAATGGGACAGTATGTTGGGTTTCAAACCCACTAGTCATTTCCTTTACTTAATTGCTAACTGCACTTCCCTGGCTGCAGTTTGGAGCCTGTGTTTGAGCTAGTAACCCAGCAACTAAAACTCACACTGCAGTTTGCAAAACAGAACAAAACAGAGAAGTTTACATTTCCATGGATTTGGGGAGTAAAAGTCAATGTTGTTTCCCCAGGGCCTTCTGACTTCGTGAGGAAACTCACTTGGATCTCAATGTGGCCACGTCATTATGCAAGTCTTAGAGACAAATTATTTCATAGAAATGAAGGACGTAGAAGACACAGTCTCTAAGAACACTCCTGTGTCCTTAGCAGCCAGCAGGGAACCTGGAACATGTAGGTACTCAAAACACATCAGCAGGATAGGGTTTCTGGTTCTCTTAGGACAACCCAACCTGTTAGTAACCATGCCATTATTGCTTTAGGATTCAATGGGTGTTTAATATATGCATGTGTACTTTTCCTTTGATTTATACCTTCACACTGCTGTAGGTGCTGCCTTTGTCTCTCCCACATGACCAATACTTTAAGCATGCTCTGTTTTTTTAAATGAAGCAAATGTTGATAAACATTATTTAGGAAAAAAATCTAATATGCAAAAGCCACAAGATGAATGAGAAAAAAAAGTAAAACTGGACAGCAAGCCTACATGTTTTATCAATAATGCTTTGGCTCAACCTTGAAAACTCCGGATTACCCTTGGACTTCTTGAGCCTCCTCTCATTTCATGCATCTCTTGCATTCTTCTTAGCTTGCGCAATATTAGTATCCTGAAGGGCTAAAATGTTTAAAATTTCCCCTTCCATTCAAATGAATAGACAGTGGGTAAACAACAGGAGTGTTCTTACTTGTAGAAGCAATACACTCTCAAACTCTGCCCCATTCATTTTATTTCCATTAACAAATATGGGCCAACATTTTTATTCATTTAATTGTAGGCAGGAATCAAGTGGCATCACTATCAACTCATTCTGACAGGTTGAGTCAAAAGTAGAAAATGCAATCTACACAGAAATCCCCTTAAAATGTCCATAATTCTGTGATGATTCTGTAAAAGCACAACATTCTCTGAATTAAAATGAGTCCTGTTGCTTCATCAGAGCAGGGGAAACATGCAAAGAGATAGATATTATGCTAAGAATGCCCAAAATACTCCAGCACCACTCCCTCCCTGATGATGAGCGGCTTGGGGACGAAACCCAGCGACAGCATCACCAAGCTGTAGAACGAGCATACTGCAATACTGACACACCACGCAAGATGTGAGTACTGGTGTGATAGTGGCACCATTGTCTGATAGACAACCAACAGTTTTGTGATGGATTGGAGACTTGTTCTATTGGAAGGAATACACACCTGGTATTATAAGCCTGGCCAAAAGGCTGTATCAGGAGATCTCATAAGCTTAAAGAGGTGGGGGTACTACTGTTGTACCCCTAAAAGGATATATTGTCAAATTGTCTTCTAAATATTTACATTTATAGCAATAGACTAGTGTCACTCTGAATCTGGAGCAGAAAAGTTCCCTTTTGCAAAAAATGATAGTTAATGCAGAAACTCATATACAGACAACGTGCTAACATTAAGCAGCTGTTGAGGCACAGCCCTAAATAGAACATTTGTGTCATCTGTATCCCCTAAAGCTCAGGGGACATCACAGGACAGGAAGAAGAAAGCTCAGATATGACATGGGTGTTGCAGTCATGAACACTAGGCAGCTATGGATATCTGCATAAGATTGGTCTCTTCAACATACCATCATCGATAGAGGAGATGCCCATGGGGGCTCATCTCTTTCTAAGGAACAATTGGCTGTTTGGTTGTCACTGGAGGAGAAGGTATGATTTTCTTTCATGTTGTAGCCACTGGGGAATTAGAAGGGGTTCAGAGGGAAAGGAAGGGGTTATAACAGATGGTAATGGGATGTTAATATAACCACAGTACAGTACATATGTGTATGAAACTTTCAAAAATAAAGTAACAAGAATGTTTTTAGTTCTGTAAAAGAAAACTGTGCTACAAAACACATCCATTTTATTATTACCTGATCTCTTACATAAATAGTTCCAGAAAAAAAATTGTAACCTCCCACCACTTGGGAACTATCTGAGCTCCACAAAGTAGCAATTTCTCAGGATGCCAATGTAATTGGCAAGATTTCTAAGACAAGCATGACATTTTCTCCCAATCTTTTTTTTCTGCCCCCACACTGGCTGCTTTATTTACAGGCTTGTGAGTGACCTCTGTCTCCGATCCAGCCCCCACCTTTTCTACAAAAGTAAATGAAGATGTAAACAGGCTCCCCGGCAAAGCCTTTACTCCCAGACCACAAGCACAAGGAGACTGGGAAGGATGGGAAGTCCAGTTCCCGAAGGTCAAGGTGCTAGTGAGGTGGCTGAGGAGACTGGAGGTCCTACAGCTAATCCTTGCCTGGGATGTCAGGAAACTCTCACCAGAGGAGCCCGGAGCCTAAAGCTTGGGAGCAGGGGTGTAGGCTGAAGAAGGGAGCAACCCAAAGACTTTCAGAGTCATTTGAGGCATAAGGTTCTGAAGTTTGAGGCTACCCCGGGCAGTACAGTGAGACGCGGCAACCCCTCACCTCTACCCTCTCCACCAGCAGCCAGGGCCACCGTTACAGCCATATCTGCAGCCACACAGACATCTACTTATTCACATCCACTCCATGCACACAGAGGGGGGACTGTCACAGCCCTGGACCTATACTCTGGAGCCCTGAATGTCTCTGTATCGGTACCCAGGTGGGGGACTGCTGAGGGGAGTCTTGGCTGTCTTGCAAGCATCTATCCAATCGCTGTATACATCCACTGGGTCTGACAGATACACAATAGGTGTCTGGAATTCCTCTAAGCATATGGTACAGGGGATGACTCCAGTGTTATGAGCACGGTTCATTTTCACATCACAAGACTTCTTGGGGTTGCAGAAAGGGCGAGTGAACTGGGTCTCTAGGGTGCCTGTCTTCTTCTTGGGGTGGTGGCTTCCATTTGGACTTCCATCATCCTACAGCTGCAGAGAAGAAGCCTTGGTACAGGATGAAACTTGTACCAGCCCTGCCTGGCAGCCAAGGCCTCTGGAGACGTTAACCTGGGAGATGTTAACTTCGGGCCCTTCCTTAATCTTTAAATAAAAAAAAAAAAAAAAAAAAAAGATGGAAACAACACTATAAGCCAATGGACAAATAAGTAGTAGTTTTATTACAGTAATCTGGATAAGTAACTATACTGCAACAGTTTCATTTAGGGCTCTTTTAAATGGATTTTCAGTTTTATAACTGGGCTGGCAGAGATTTTTGCTCCCTAATCTTCTTTCTCTTCTACTTATTCCCTCCCCACCCCCACCTCCACCCCCAATAAGTGAACAAATTCGGAGAATCCAGCTGCACTTCCCTCTGTGACATTTGCTGGGACTGTCTTGGTATCTACACCAGGTTTCCCCTTCTACACATCAACTAGCGGTTTTGTTCCTTCTACCCACTTTCTGCCTTCTCTCCTCTACTGCAGATTGTAGCAAGATGATTAAGAAGTTAGACTATGTATAATTCTATGGAAAACTACCTGCTCTTCCTTCCCAAAGTTGAAAGACATCTCCAGAGGAGTATCTTGGGGTTTCTTTGTCCTCCATTCTTTTAAGAATAGTGTAGAGATACCAGAAGCACCCATGATTTCATCGTGGCTATGGAAACCAAACACACTGATCGCAGACAAGAGGAAGTGAAAGACAAGCAGCATGAACTATTCCTGTGAGTGGGTAAGAAATGATGTAGAATGAAAACAATCCTCCCTCGCCTTTACGAGATTTTAATCTACTTTGACTAGAATAGTAAATACCCTGCTTGGTGGGAGACCTTAATGAATAATCATTTTCCTCAAATTAATTTCCCTCCTAAATTGTTCTGCCTAGAATACACTCATTCTCTTAATTGCCCTGCCCAGAAAGCTCAGAGACGCGTTTGCTTCTGCCTTTCCTCTAACTCCGGTCTCTGTGAATCAATCACCTTCACTTCGGTTTCCTTTGATCTGCTTCGAACAGCTCTCAAGTCCGTCTACCCCGTTCATCCTCGACAATATGCCATAGCAAACATCTAAAATGCAGCAACAAAGTACGTCTTTCTTCTCAGAAACCACAGTGAATTCCCACTGCCCACTGCATCAATTACCAACTCCTCCCTCTGGCATTTGGCCTTCCAACGCAGGTTCCCATGTTAGCTTCCAGTTCCCTTCCCCCCTCCCTCACTTCACAGTCCAGCAACTCTGAGTTTCTTGGTATTCTTTAGAAGCCCCAGTTTTTGCCTATATTGACTGGCCAGCTCGGGAAATAGTCTCTTCACCATGACCTACTGTAGAAACCACATCATTCTTCAAACATATCTCATTTTATATATATATATTCTGACCTCCCTCAAATTGATATAATTTCTTCAGCTAAACCCTCCAGCATTTCATTCATATCCCACCATAGTTCTCATTTACTATTCATCACAGTCTACTTTCTTTTTGAGCCAGGCTCGAGTGTGCCCAGGCTGGCCTTGAACTAGGTATGTAGCCTAATGCCTCCACTTTCCAAGTGTTGGGATTACAGGCATGAACCACCAGCCCTGACTTCTTACCTGCTTCTTACAGGTAGGAAAAGTTTCTGACTTACTTCACTCTACTGAGAAGCATGGGATACAGTGGGAGAAAACAAATATGATTTTTTTTTAAATCTGTGGGCCTCATGGTCTTTTATTACAGCTTTAATTTTTTTTAAATTGAGCATTGTCTCTATTGTACCATACATATACTCACGCAGACTCAATATAATGCTGCAAGGAGATATGGACCACATTTGTCTTCTCCAGTTTGTGGCAGCATGTCTAGAGCTGGCTAAATATTCAATTAATATATCCTGAATAAATTAATGAAATATATAGATCATGACTTCCCATACATGTTGAACTCAGTCACATCAAAAGCAATGAGCGTACTGAATTAATATAATAAATGCCACTGAATACTAGCCTCACTCGCTTCCTTCCCGTTTAGTCACAGACTCAACAAATGCTCTCCTCTAGTCACTGAAAACAGAAAAATGAAAGAAATGTGAAAAAACTGTCATCTCACACCACCCGTGTCCTAGCAAAGGGATGAGTAATCCCCCTTATATCATCTTGGAATTTTAAAAAAAGAAAATCTTTAAGAAAAGGGGGTTAAGGCTCAAGACAGATGCATCGGTGGAAGTACTGAATATCTGGATGAAGCAAAGACCAGCTGTAGCATCACGGGAAGGAGATACAACAGACTTTAGCACCTGAACTTGAGTGACAGCAACATAATAGATGTGCGGCTGCAGGCATCAGCGGGACGCTAGCCCACTGGACCTCAGAGATGCCAAGGCAAGGCAGTGGCGAAGTCTCCAGTCCTGTCTCCTCACCCAAGTGCCCCAAGCAGTGAAGTTGGGGAAGCTGCTGAGGATGGTGGCTTTTAGGGTATGAGATGAGCTATGTCTAACGTTACTTAGAATCCTACTGAAGAAACAGGGCAGCGTTTAGGTGAAAATGTTTAATCCCCGAGTAATGGTATGCCTTTTGAGTGATGGTAGAAACAAATCCCAAACATTATCCATCATGTTCAGTAGCAAAGCACCTGTTCTACAACTGTGCCAAATTCCTCTAGGAGTCTGGCACCTACCAGCAAGATAGTAAGTAATCACCCTGCCTGTTTAGTTTCTAGGACATAGTAAATGCCTAAATTTTATTCATGAATTGAATTGATTGATGGTATGATAACTATCACCATAAAACCAAACAGAAAAGACACTATCTGCCTGAGAGGATGGTCAAATATAACTTGATGGATGCTGCAGCAGCTTTAAGTTGAATTCAATGTACACACAATACCTACCATCCAGTAAGTATAAAAATTAAAACACTTGTATGATTTATTATCTTCATTCTCATGACGTGGGTTGCCAAGGTTTTAGCTTCTTTGATTTTAATTTTGATACATAAAAGCTATTATGCATGTTTATAGGATGCTATAGGTGATATTTATGCCTTTGTGAGTATTTTGTTTGTTTAGATGGAGAAGAGGGTGTCATGGATCCCAGTCTGTCCTTGAAATAGCTATGCAGAAAAAAAAGACCTTAAACTCCTGATCTTCCTGCTTCCACTTTCCAAGTACTAGGATTACAGGTTTGAATCACTGTGCCTCATTTTATCCACCTTCTCGTGCTTAATATTCACCCAGAAGTTGTACTAGCTGCAGTCCTCTTGACATTACTTCCTGTGGGCATCGTTCCCAAAGCCTTCATAGGCCACTAAGCTCCTGTCCACACGGCTGGCTGGTCTGTCAACTCAAGTCACCATGTTCAACTGACATGGCCAAAGCTTGCAAATTCCAAAGTCACTGTTCGTACTTTACATGTGATAGTGTTTGGCCTGGCCTACAGGTCATATGACCATTCATGTATTTATATACAAACTTGCATCACACATAAGTCCAGCATTTAAAAATACTTGAGATAGACTTTCATAGCAATTAAAAATAAATATGAAAACTGAGAAAGCTATGTTCATAGACTGTTTACTTTCAAAAGTAAGTACATAGTGAGTGATGGTGAGGATGCTCATTCCAACATACTGATTTCTATCTTTTCTGAATATCATCTAACTGGGTAGAGGGCTGTGTAAGCCCCCCCCCTCTCTCTCCCTCTTTCTGTCTTCTCTCTCTCTCTGCCTCTCTTTGTCTGTCTGTCTCTGTCTTTCTCTGTGTGTATGTTTATAATGAAGCAAATTCTAGTCTCATGACTTCTCCATTCCTCCATGAATGAGTAAAAATATTTTTGTAGTAGTTTTCACTTCTCTACCTCCTAAAAACTTCTAAAAGGAAGAATAAATTAAACAATGCATGCATGTAAATAAACACACAGTTCCGTCCATTACAGAGATATCAGCAAACATAGCAACAGTAGAAAGAGAATATTCATAGACATCCCTCAGACTACAGAAGGGAAACTGGCCAGATAGAAGGGATACCCTTCAGGTGATGAAGGGGACCAGAGCCTACTGAAGAAGTCATCACAGCCCGAGGAATTTGCTGTGGGTGCCCACATGGCACACTGCCACACCACACGAGAATCCAGTCTTCATTTTCCACAGTGACTCATTCAGCTAGAGTCCACTGACAAAGCCACGGTGCTGCCCTGGAATCAACAGGCCATGTCGGAGGAAGGGCTCCGCTCCCTCCTCCCCACAGGGAAATCACTTTTCTCATCCTGAGCCATTCCAAGCAAACTCACAATGGTGACATTTGCTGAACAGTGGCTTGAATAAAAGGCTCTCAGTGCGCAGAATGGTAACATGAGGCACAGGCTAACCCCAGGAATGCTCTCTGGGAAGGACCCACAGCCTCTCGTTGAAAAAGAGAATAAAGAAGGCCACAGTAGGAGAGCTGGGCCTCAGAGGGTCCTGCAGCCTCAGCTTTGGCAGCAACATTCCTCAGAACTAACTGAGATGAGGTAAACACGCTATTGCTTCAAAGAATCCTGTACAAAGAAGCAAGCACAAATCCTTCGAGTGTCTCTCAGCCATTTTTCTTAATTGCCAGGTAAGCTGGGGATATTCTCTGCCCCAAAGAAAAACAAAAGCAAAAATACAACACAAGCTTGCTCCTTGTCTGTTCACAGTTGGACCCATTCCCCAGTTCTTTTGTGATTAATTCTTTCAGAACTCCATAAATAACCCCTCAAAATACTCCTCCAAAGCAACTGTGATTGATTGATTTTGTTATTGTTGTTGTTGCTCAATCACAAGAGGCCTGACTTCCCTTCCCTGGAAGCTCCATCTCCCTTGGAGAATGGACCCCTTTAGTCCTGCCTAGTTGCTAACAGTGAAACAATAGCCTTGAGTTGAGCTGTTGGTTTCCTTTTGACAAGTCGCTGGATCTAAACACCGTCTGAACCTTTTGTTCTGTGGACAGTTGCGTCTCCATTTCAAGTTATAGTTCAAAAATTCTTGTGGAAAAAATGATCTGTGACATTGTCCAGACTGGTCACTAGAATCTCCTCCTCTGCATCCTTGCCCTAAAATCAACACAAATCTTGTTTCTTCAGTCTGTCACTTGAGTTACATAACCGCCTTTCATTTGAACTCATTCATCAAATTGGATGTGTTTTGTTTTGTTTTGTTTTGTTTTGTTTTAAACAATACCTAATGAATCCTTGCCTGGCTCCGGCTATCTTTTAATGAATTCCACTTTCAGAAAAGGCCGTGATCATTGAGCTTGTTTTTGAAACTACCAATGTAGTTTCCTCTTTCACCCAGAACTTAGGGTGTGGTTTCATGCAGAAAGAAGAGAAGGGAGGGAGACGCGGGAGGGAACTTAGCAAGAAAAGCCTTTCTGAGTGCGTTGCGGTCTGGGAGGGGTGGGATGTGTTCTGTGGCTCTCCGAAAGTTTCTTCCTAGGGAGGACTCACCACACTCTGATATCTCCACAACAACACTCAAAAGCGCGGTCACGCTCAGAGTTGGTTAAAAACTTGGGACAATGAGCTTAGAGCTCTCGGAGTCTTGAGTCAATCCCAACTAATGGTTTTCCTGAACCGCTAGACAATCTCACCCTCAGGGCTCGGTGAGTCACCACCACTGACTCAGCGACCCCACCCCTGTCCCCTGGGCTCTTCTCGGGAGGCTGTGGATCCTGACCCTCAGGAGTTGGACTGAGTCCGTTAGGTCCCGGGATACGACCACCCAGAACAAGCCCTCTGCAAAGGACCCGAGTGCCCGGCCTTGAGCCTGGTATCTTGGGCTGAGTGCTTCTCCACTCCACGCCCCAATCTCAGGCTCTCTTTGTTTCTCTCTCCCCGCCTTCCGATCTGCAGGACCGCTTTTGCTGGCTCTTCCTGCTCCTAGGCTCACAGGTCTCCCCACCCACCCAGTCCCAGAAGACCGCAGCTCGGCGACCGCGCCCCTCCCACCGGCGCGCCTAGTCCCACGCCCCTTTGGCACAGTGCCAGGGACCACTTTGCTCAACTTTCCGGAGCTCCCCTTCCCCCAGGCATCCCCGAGATCCCTCCTTTC